TTTAATATTATTATGCTGTCTGACAGTATGTTAAATATCGATGACAACGAACAAGGAAAATATGAAATATAAAATGGGTATTTAATTCAAAATTATTTAAAGGGTGTGTCGAAAGTGCATTATGTAATTTTGTGTTTTAAACACAGGTTAAATACATAAGTTAAATACAATTTTTTCGTTGATTTTCGTTGTTTCATGTTTCGGAGCTAAAACGGTAGATATTTGCTAGTTTTTTAAACTATTATCGGAACTAGGGGCGCGTTGCTCTGCGCTTTCTAGGGGCGCGTTGGCCGTTGAAGTAGTTTGATCGTTTGTAGTACTATCTTCATTTTCTTTTTCTTCCTCATTTATTAATTGCTTTAAAAGTCCAATACATATTTTTGAACCTTCCATGGCTTCATTAGAGAGCTAAAAACAAATGCAAGATATTATTATGCCTCCCTAGCTCAATTGTGAAAGATCTGTATTTTACCATAGTGAAATTTAAAAACCCATGGGGTAAACCTTTTAAGATATCCAATGTGACGGGTCTATTCAATTTCTTTAACTTTTTGGCGAACATTACACAGTCATCGAGGCAGGGATCCATTTCTAAGGTCTGAAAAGAAAGAGTTAAAAATAAAAATAACAAAGGGAGGTCATCCAATTTACGAGAATTTTAGTTGCTGGCATCTGTTCCAGCCATTCATCGGGTGCGTAGTAAGGAGACAAAAATGGATCTTTGGGAATCTGAAAGGCAAACTCGGCACTAGGAGAGCGAGCAATTAATGCATCCATATTCCTCAAGTCCTCCAAGGGTTTTTGTGAGATACCGTCGCGTTTTATTTCATACGACTGTGTGTAACGGTCAATTGTGCTTGAGATGCTGTTGACGGCATTGTTTAACTTCGCCTGAATATCCAAAGTCAGCATATCTTTACTAATGTCAATCAATAGATTTTCTTCAGACAGGGTTTTGGCCGGCATTCCATGCAATTTTTTTGATCCATCATCCTCCTTAGCCTCTTCGGTTGTCGTATCAACGATATATGTATCAAGGAAATGATCTATGTATTGCTGAGATTCAGAATTTTTATTCGTTGTTACTGGATGGTGTTCTATGGGTACTGAATCGTCTTCAAATGATACACAGGAACTATTATCATTATCTCCAGTAGACGGCAAATCAGTTCGCTCGACAGTTTGACTTAGATATGAGGCACTGGCGAATGTATTTTCCGAACTATCTTCACTCTCCTCCTGCGCTACTTCAATACCACATTGAGTTGTGACATCTATTTTGTCCTTCTAAAATTTAAAAGAAATCGTGACACCTCCAAGATCATCGTTTATTGCAAATTTGGATTTACCTTGATCTCTTCCCATTTATGGTTATCAGATGTCTTTTGCGAAGAAGTACCTTCAGATATAGTTTTACTGTTTGGTTTATCAAGACTCAGCTTATAGTGCGGTTCATCATTCGATGCCTTACGTATTTCTTTTATAAATTCTTCACTTTTCGAGTTTTCTGTTAAGATTTCTGGACTTGGGGCTGCGTAGGCCCTAAGGCATCTCATCATAAATCCAAACGGTAATAACGGGTCCATAAGGCATAACAGCCGAGCAGGGCTGGGTACGAAATTAATAAGCGTTGGACAGTACGCCAAAAATATACCATCAGGCTTACGGACACCCTGTTGGATGCACTTCAATGCAAGAGCTATGCATAAGTTGGCACCGGCTGAATCCCCAGCTAAAACTACGCGTTCAGCGGTAGTGCCAAGATAACTAGAATTTTTCAACATCCAACAATAGGCATAAAACACTTCCTCAATGGCCCGTGGAAACGGTGCTTCAGGTGCCAAACTATAGTCAATTGAAAAAATGGGGCAATCAAGTGCAACTGCCCAATCTCGCAAATACAATTCATGAGATTTAGAGGATTGTGCTACGAATCCACCACCGTGACAATGGAAAATAATGGATGGACTACGAGCTGGTAACTTTCGCCAACCACGCGTGGTACCCAATCCCATCATTCCCTCACGACGTCGGGCGCTGAGTAAACGCGATTGTATAACAAGTCCCGGACCTAAATGGCTGGACGGCACAGGAATGTCCAGAATATCGTTATCTATATCGTCATTAGTTCTTTCCGTACGTTTTATCTTTGGCAGCTGCAAGGGTTCTGCTGGAATTTCTATAACTTGATTGACCTTAATTGAACTACCAACAATACTGGGTATTTTATGCATTAACTCCGACTCCGCTAAAAACCAAAAAGACTTGCAAAAATCTATTTTAGCGTTTTGAGAGAGATTCACTATTCTTCTCGATCTCAATTCAGGATTCAACAAATATTTGCCACTTGTCCACACGCTGCGTGTCGTCTTCAGAAGAGGGCCATCTACATCTTGAGCATAAAATGTTTCCGAAAAACCTGCCATACTTATTGATATAAACCGCAGGACGCCCCGTATCGAATCGCCATATTGGAAGCCCATACATCTTCCATAAAAGCAATACTGATTTATAGTGTCACCCATTTCGAACAGCTCCTCTGCCGAATGATGGCCATATGCAAAGAGATCGGCGCTATCTTTTGACCACTCGTGCAAAATAAGTAGGTATTTGAGACAGGTACACAAAGACGATAGCAACTGTGAACATGCTTCGACTTCTTTAACATATGTCTTTTTGCGGAAGAACATGGTTGACCTGGCAACAGACAAGTTTTTACAAATGCCCAGGCCGTATTCGATGCAGGAATCGACGACCGAAATAAAACTGCGGTAACCATTGCCGGGAGTATCTTCATCAAAGTCATAGGTGCTGGCAAAGGACTGCACTTGCCTCACTAGGTTATCCGCCATAATAATAAAATCCTGCCACGCCATATTGGCAGCATGCAGACGTTGTCCTTTCTCAGTTAGATCGTCTTTGAAAAAGACTGCCTGTTCATAACAGGCCATCAAAAGGTCGCGATATTTCGCTCGCATTTCTGGAGGAGGAGATGGCACTCTCAAAATATCACTGGCAACAGTTTGAGTCGAGCATGAAGGTTTCTCTGTTTTGTCATTAGCATCATTCTCGCTTGTTAATTTGCATGCCTCCATCTTAAGCTTCTCTGGAAAACTTCCACTGGCAGCCTGCACCGAGCTGTTGACGTTTTCTTTTCTAATTTCAGATGCTGATGCATCTTTCTTGAGACATTGCATAGTATATTTGTTGTGGTGGACCGCCTATGAATACAAAATGAATAATTATAACTATAAATAAAACATCAACCTCGACCCTTACTCTGATAGCCAACTTGGTTTGTGGTCTTGTTGGGCCACTCAGAAACGAACGAAAAACTTTAAAAAAGGCCACTTTCACTACTTTCACTTGAAGTCATGACAACAGGGACCTGAAGAAATGAAAGAAATAATCCTTGGTTGTCCAAGGTGTATGCATAGCAAAGCAATTAGAATTACTTTACTTACTTGTTTTTTAAATAATCCTGTCCAACAATGTGTCCAATTTAATTTCCCCAATTTCCTGGTTGTTTTATTGGTTTTATCCCTCCTTTGGTCTTATTGGTGTTCAGGTTGATTGTTGTCTCTGCTTCAATCGCGTTGGTTTGGTTGTTCGTTGCGAGCGTTAGAAACAAAAAAGGAAAACGTCCAAACGAAACGAATATGAAGGCCACAAAGGAATACCCGATAAAAAATAAACAGAAAGCAAAGACTCGGGGTACTCTGTTGTTTACGAATAAGACATGAGAAAATTAAACATCCTCACAAAAGAGCTCGGAACTAGCTCGGCGAGTGGATTTCAACTGTTTAGTCGAGTTAAAGTACCTTTAGACTAGCTAAATCGAGTGGATTTCAACTGTTTATTTAAGTTAAAGTACATTTAGACTTGCCGAATCGAGTGGATTTCAACAGTCAATTCCACACGTGGAATTAATACTGGTCTCAAATCCAGTGGATTTTATTTGACGTTGTTGACATTTAAATTCGAGTAGTCTAAGCTCCCTAAATATCTAGGGTCGTCGATAGTATCGATACTTTACTTTAAAGAGGGATATCGATTGATCGATTTTTCTATCGATATTATCGAATGCCTGTACCAAGGTAGGTGTATTAGGTAGTCGCATCAATGCAAATGCTGGTACGATATGTCGACATGACATATGCTCTGTTCCAGAACTCCGAGAATGTAAAACATTTTTCTACGATAACAGATTTTTTCTTTATGATATCGAAAAAATTGCCAAACTAGTAGAAACTTGCAATTGTTTATTTCCCAAAATATGAGCCCATAATATTGTGCTCACATTAGACTCTTTGTCGGGTTAGTCTATTTTATGAGGATTAATTTGACGTATATGCAAATTATTTATATATCAACTGAGTCGGAAGATAATTGTCAATTTTGTTCTGTTCTCTTAAGGGTCCCTAGGATCCTTTTTTGAAAATGTTACAAACCCGTAAGTATCTTTGTGCCTTATACAAACAACCGTAAGGAATGGCTGTTTATTAGTCTTTTGTACTACACGTATTATTTATTTATTTTATTTTATTTATTTCAATTCATTAGAGATACAAAGCCTCCAAGGCCAATAATGTGTATCAACTTGCATTAAATAATATAACCTGAGCTTAATTTATTTACAATATAAAGATTCTTAATTTATTTAAAACTATTTCTACTTTTACTCTAATATTCAAAAAAGAAAAGAAAAGTTGGCTCCCCAGCCATTAAAACAAATTAAACTATTTTACTACATAAAATATTCAGTAAGCGGCATCTTAATTCTTAAGTTGTGTATTATATAATACATTTACCATAAACTACATTTAGACACAACTAAGATGTGTTTAGAAATAATTGCAAAATCTTGAGGCGAAAAGCATTGTTACTCTGGGAAAATATGCGTAATTCGAGTGGAAGTGTATTCCAACATCTCGCAACTCTGACCAAAAACGATCTAGCAAAAACGTTTTTAAAGATTCTAGGTATAAAAACGGATTTAATTAAAAAAATAAAACTCATGAACCATAACATATTATTTGTGAAACGGTTTGGATAATAACAATTCATGAAATGTACTCTTAAAATCTAGATACATAACTAATTATAACTACATTATTCTATTAAATGTTAAAACAAAATGTCATCTGCTTTACGTTTCCGCTTCTTTAGTTTCTGCTTAAGATCTACCGTTTTTCCCCTCATGACACTAGCCTTTAATTTCTTGGCAGACTTCTTACGTGCTTGGATTGCTACTTTCCGCTTGGCTGCTCGAACAGGATCGTGGATTTTTTCTTGAGCTAAGACTTTTTTGCGATCAGCTCGGCGAATCATTAGCTTCATCTGAGCATTTGCACGCAACTTATCATATACATCGGATCCTACACGTTTTCTTAGGCGGCTGCCAACACGCAAAGCTACTTGTCTCAAATCTGCATCAACATTTTGATCTTCTTCAGACATTTCTCTTACTAAAGCTCCGAGGATGCCAGGTCCCAGTTTTTGCAACTGATCAACGTTCAATAGTGTAATAAGTCCTTCCAAAAGCGTGAACAACGACATTCGCTAAAACAAAAGAATTGTATATTACTAGATCCCAGATTAATCGAAATGGTCCCGTTTGAAGAACTTACCATACTTGTGCTGTGGGACGCTTTAACTACTTCTTTATTTATCAAAAACCGAATTTGCTTTAAAAGCCAATTAAGATTAATGTTGGTTGCTGGCTCTTTATCTTCCATATTCTCCTGATCGTCCTCTATGTTCTCACTTTGTCGTTTAACACTGAATGGAACATCTTTAAGCATCGTCGCAATATAAAGGAATATTTTAACGATTTCGTCTATCATTAACTGAGATGTTTCGCCGGGTATCATTTGCGCGCACAAATCCAAAACCAATGACTTGATATCATATTCGGGATTTAAGTAAATAAAATCCAACTTATTTAAACTACTTCTGCTATCTTCAAAATCAGCTTGTGATAGCTTGCGACCGATATAGTCAAAATCGTATCCGCTAAGAATATGACCAATGATTTTGGCGGCATTACATCGGACCCAATTGTGATCGTGAGCTAATAAACGCTGCGACTCGTATGCCAGTTCATCCACCACGCTGGTCAACTCACTTATCTTTAACAATTCTGAGGAACAATATTCGAATACTTTCAGTAGACAGTACTGCACTTGAATCATTTCATGATCTAGCGACCGTTGCTTTCGCTCCAGTTCCTCCTCTTCCTCTTGGAATCCCTTATCTTGCAATACTTCATTGACTTCTTTTTCTAGGTATTTATTTTCAATAAACTCTGGTGATTGTTTTGACTGTAACATAGATATGATCAAGTTAGAGAAATGTTCTTTTTTTCAAACAACGTTTACAACTTACCTTGTATTTCTTCTTTTTGGGAATACCGCTGACATCATTATCTGGTAAGGAGTCTGTGTGTGGAGCCCTTACAAACCGACCATCATTGGTTGAACTATCCTGATTCAACCTTGCAACTAATGTTGGTAACAGCACTTTGAGACGAGGAGCAAACGATTGTTTTTCCGAACATAAAAATCTCGAGCACAATGCCGCCCCCATTTCACGAACTGAAGGTTTATTATTGGCCTTAAAGAACAACAATGTCAAGTCGAATAAATGTTGGCGACTTGATTTCTCCAATCTGCCAATCAAAATTTCAATGCAATTGGCAACTGCTTTGCGACATTCGGGATCCTCGTCATTTACAAGTCTAGTGCCGAGCGAAAGATATAAGAATTCGGCTTTCTTCGTTAATATAGTCAGTGGGAATTTCTTGATGACGGTGCAGATAAATTCTATGGCAGATAGCCGACCAGCGGACAAAGAAAAACACAACTGCACCGTAAAGAACTTAACGATGTGATCCACCTTCTTATTAAGCGGATATTCCATAACATATGTGGTCAATAAGTTCCGAGACTCATCACGAACATATTCAGACGGCGAGACAACACACATCTCACCAATCTTCTTCATGATATCATGAATTGCTTTACACTGCACTTTGCGATTCAACAGGGCCTTCAGCAGATTGAAAGTCATAGACTGATTTTCGCCATCATGTAGATCTTGTTCTACGTATAAAATCAATTCATCAACCTGCTCTTCGGTAAGGTCATAATAGGTGCATTTCCTAAGTAATGCCACGATGGCTTTGAAAGCCGATTTCATCAATTGGAAGTTGTCTTCCTGTTTCGTGGCACCGAAAGTTGAGAAATTTTTAAGTATTTCAAACATTCTTGCAACAACAGATTTTATATATTCATCGTCCTTCATGGCTTTTAATTCATATTCCTCTACCCAGAGTGTGGCAAAGCACTTGAGAGCGAACGTTGTGACTCGAATGTGAGTGCTCTTCAGAGAATCTCGAAGAAGTGGGAGAATGGGATTGATGAAGGGTTCATAATCTATATTTTGGAGTTTTTTACGTTTTAAAACTATATGTAACATCTCCAGACCAAACTCAATAAGAATGTGAGCGTTCGCCTGGGCATTTGTCTTGATTTTTTTGTTTAGCGCTCCTGATCGCTGTGGCGGTGGTTGTATTATAAAGCAATCTGGTCTTGCTCGTCGCATTTTTTCCTTTTCCTGTTCCGATAACACTCTCCGCTGGATGCCCGGCAAAAGGTCAGTAATGCTTTCGGATATTGTACCATATATAAAGATCAGTAGGCTTTCACGTGATATGTGCGCATTTTCCACCAAACCATTTACAATCTTCGCAAAGCATTCCTGAATTTTTAACGTCAGCTTTCGCGATTTCGATCGTGCCAAGTGATCTTTAAAAGGAAGTAATAAGTCCAGCAGACAGTTTTCTTGGATGTTTCGAGCGATTATGTGTAGTACGAGATAACTTTTAGCGCTTGGTTTGGCCTCAGGTGTGTGAGATGTTAATCTGTCTACTTCTTTCTCTGCACTGACATCGCCAAAAATATCGTTTAGGGCCACTTCCAATAAATTGTGGAGACAGCACTCTATGTCACCTGGTTGAACGACATCACGCAGGGCATCAAGGACACCGTGTATTGTAACTGACAAAACATGCACTTGGAAGCCTCTTGTTAGAAGATTCTGCAAATGGCTTACAAGCATGGAAAGATACTCAGATCCAAGGCACAGCATGATTTTCTTTAAAATATCGCGAGTCAGCATTCTTACGGATTTCAGTGGAGACCTTAAGAAGGTACAGACCTTCATAAAAACACCTGGAAAGCAATTCACGGTTTGTCTTGTTATGAAATGAATATGATAACCTGACTAACCTGGTAAACTGGAGTCCATCAACTCTTTCGGTAGCTTCTGCATGAGTTTCACCAATGCTAGAGCAATTGGAACTCTTAGAATTTCCTCTTCTTCTCGTTCAATACTAAGCCTTTTCCGATTCACTTTGTGTTTGGTATCATAAGAGGATTGTTCCGTTATGGAACGATTAAGTGTTGGAATTAATATGGATGTAATTGTGGTCAGAACTTTTTTGGAAGCAGAGCATGACAAAAGTAGTGGACGTTTCATGCACGATTCACCCTTAGCTGCACCCTCTTCCTTATTGGAGACTTCGTCTTCAACGAGTTGAATGTTGTTTTCCAGCGCTTCTTCTAAATTGTCCTCTTCAGTCCCCCTGGAAGTTTCATCGCCTTCATCGTCGTCATCACCCTTTTTGTCTTCATTAGCTTGATCGTCCTTAACGCCTGTTTGTTCTAACTCATTATCGGCATCGGTCTTGATAGTTGCTTTAAGCTTTTCAATGGTCTCTGCATCATTCTGAGACAATGTAAGGTCGAAATGAAACGCATCCAATATCCTGACAACAATGCGTACGCATTGCTTCTGATAGTCGTGCGAGGAACGCATTTTCATCAAATAATAACGCAGAATTGTGTAGTAATGCTGCCACGGCAATAATTGGCATACTACTCCAACTGTTTCAATTGCTGCATCGACGAGTGTATGCTTGCTAGCATGCTTCTCCTGCAGGAGGTAACGTGAAGCTAAAGGAAGAATGATTTGTGTAAGAGTTCGCACACAAGGTGGGGTAGAAAGAGTCGCTGACATAGCATTAAATTTTAGCAGGGCTCTACCATGGCGGTGTGACTGCAAGTGTATCATGTTCTCGAAGAAATCAACCTCGGGATCTACTTTGTCACCAAGGCCACTTAAGTCCTTAAGTATTTCGTGAGAATCAGGACATTCTCTTACCATTTCGCCCAATAAACGAATACCTTCGTTACGGACATTTTCATTGGCGTCTTTAATAATGCGCCGTATCAGATTTAGAAAAATATCTCCCACTAAGTACCTCATTTGCTGTTTATCGGTGGAATATTTCTTCGTAAGGTGCGGTAGCAAAAGCCTCAAATGTTCACTTGCGTTGTCACGCAATCCCATGTCCTTGTCGTGTCGGAGGAAGTATATGCAATTAAATATTACCAAAACTCCCAGGTCCATGTCTAAGCCCTCTGGAGATTCAATTTGCTCTTTGAGTTCCTTCAGGGCATCCAATCTTTTCTCATAGTCAGGTTGTTCCACCCAACGTTTATCCCAGGCATTCAGGAGTATCATAATCCGAGCAGTGAACTTCAGATTTTTCGTAATGGGCGAATTTGGAGCCTGTTTATGTTTTATTTTTGCTATGTCAGCTATCAAATCACACAGCTGCTTGCGAGCAGACACTTCCGACACGTGTTCAAATAGGGGAGCTATCTTCCTAACATACATTTCCGGGCGTTCAAGACGTTTAATAAGGTTTGACAATGTTGTTATAACTTGCGCTACCACTTCCACATTGGATTGGGTTTGAGTTTTGGCTATCAGTATAGGCAACAAGAGTTCCAGTAAACTGTCACAGATTTCGGGTTCCTCAACGTGTTTGGTTAACATTGACAATATATTCAAGTCACGTTTATCCAACGACTGTTTCGATCCCTTGCTGGAGAAGTTCATCTTTAGTCTTTGTAGTAGTTCCGGAATGTATGGCTTCACCAAGGCTAATCCATCATCTGAACACTCCAATTCACTTTCAGAAGCCACCAATAGTCGTTCAATTAGACCCATTATAGGTTTCCTTACCAATGCTTTTGATTTATCGTTCAAAAGCAACGCGATGATGTAATGGAAGATGGTTTTTTCAGAACCATCCATAGCCTGACTGAGGAAATGGAAGTGTTTCGGTTTTTCACCCCAAAGAAGCAATAGTTTTAACAACGATGTGGGTGCATGTATGCATTCCAAAGGTAACTTTTCCAATGACGGATAGACAAAAACGTTTGTAAGGCATGCAACAATAGTGGGCTTCCATTCAAATTCCTCAATATGCTCGAAGAAGTTGACTAGGCTTTCCAAAGCATTTTGCTTCAGATTACGGAAAACTATTGGCATTTTCGGATGCAATAATGATGCGTTCAAACTTAGGACTTCATTGCAAGTGGCCCCTATGAAAACTAGCAGCTTCAACATGTACACATGAAACGTCTCCTGCATAATGCCACCAAACTCTTTGCGTATTAATTCAAGTAAGTTAACAACGCTTTGGAGTTTTTTCGGGGACCACACGGCAGAAATATTAAAGTTAGTCCTCACAATTTTAGGTATTTGTTCAATAGGGTTGGCCTCGTCTGTAAACTGGGTATATAATCCGAAGGCCATTTGCATAAACCATTCTATTTCCGTAAGTTTGCACTGCCCCAAAAATCGGAGAATTATCGACTTTCTTTGTTGCGGACTTAGTCCCTTTTGAGAGCCTTTCGTAATCATCTTTCCGTACAGCAAACGTAGAAAGATGTGCATGAATTGTTCCCGATGTTCTTCTGACACAGTGTCCACCTTAAAGTTGAGCAACTCATCTTTGAATTTCTTTTCATCTAAAATATTGTAAAACAGCTCCTTATATAGCATTAGCGATTTGGATTTGTATGACATGACACAATCCAATGCACACTTTTGTAATTGGTTATTAGAGCCTTTTAGTAGCTGCATGTACAAGTGCCAGAGTTCTGTTTCTTTGAATAAGGCGCGCGGATTCTGTTGAACAGCCAAAACAGATAGTTTGCACTGCAAAGTCTGCAATATAAACTTGGCCCGCGCATTGTCTTGACCTCCAATTTTGGCCACTCTCTTAAACTTGGCTTTCGTCTCATCCTCTTTATCAACTTCATCCAGATCTAGGTCTATTTTTTTGTTAGTCATTGCATTTAGATCCCAGCAGTTTTCTTTTTTCTCCAAGTGCTGTTGGTATTCCTCTTCGATAAATTTCAAAAAGATTGCAACTAAATCTCGGTTTTTCATTTCAAACAACTTGCCAAATTGGGGTAGATGTTGCCACAATAATATGCGGTAATTCAGTATTTGCTGTTGGGTCAATTGTCTTTCCTTTTTCAAGGGCAAGATTGCATTCATTGTCTTGGAGTTCCAAATTTCCTCGATGACTTCATCTTCTTGGTTAAAGTGTTCTTTAGAATAATCAACACTGTCCAATGTTTTCTGCATCTTATCTTGGTAAATTGACCAAAAAGTTGCCGGCTCAACTTCTTTGGCATAATCTTCCAAAAGTTTGAGGGTTGGTTCCCAAACAAATTTAAAATTATGATACAGCATGCCCAACAAAAAGCGAATACAATCGTTTTTGTATGTGGCTTCTTTAAACGATTTAAACAGATCCGTTTGCGTTTCCAATTTTTGTATCAACAAGATCTGCTCCCTATAATTGTGAATATTGGGTTCAATTAATTCAGTCTGGTAAAATATGTGGTAAGGGGTTTGGGTTTCTTGGCCCTTGAACAGGACACTCAGTGACTGTGCGGCCAATAGACGATAGTCGTGATCGTGGTGTTGTAAAATATATGACAGACTGGGGATTAACCTGGTTTCGTGCTTAAACAATTTACTGTTTTTGGATATTAATTGATTCAAGGACCCCAAAACATTTTTGTACTGCAGATTGTTCAATAAAATTTCTGTCAATGGTTTCAAAATATCTTTCGGTGGAAATAAATCCAATTGCCACATTATCTCAATGAGAAGAGTTAATGTATTAAGCGGTCTCTTAAGATCCTCAGTTTTTGAAGCTTGCATTTCATTAACTGTAGATTTCATTAGATATTCTAGAGATTTTTGTATTTTTTCAGCCTTTAATCCTTTTATATGGGGTGCCATAATCAGCAATAACAGATTTTGCTCAAATTCTTTGCTCTTCGAGTTACATTTTTCTAAACTATCTTCAATGCGGATAATGGTTTGCACTGAATTCACTTTTATTTCCATCGACTGCCATTGATCCAAAGAACAGCTGTTAAAATTGAGGGGGTGTTTCTTTGTTATGACCCTTGCCATTAGTTCGATGGCCTGTAAATCAAAATTGGTTTCCAAATATTGTACCAGAGATGGTAGAATGAAAATATCGAACTGAACATGCAGAGCCATTGAAAGTACAAATTCATCATAAATTGATCGGTTCTTTATGGTTAAAGCTTTTTTCATTAAACGACTGGTATCCAATTGGGTAACCAAGGAAGAACCCGATAATAATATGGAGCAAATAACATTGCTGGTTAACAATAAAGTGTCTTCGGAAGATTTTTCATCTTGCATTCCTCTATCTATAATTCTCAAGATAGTTGCCACGATGACATCCATTTCGGATAAGAGACGTCCATCCTTGAACTGAATTACTTGCAAAGCAATTTTCATTAAAAACTTCAGTTTTTTAACTACGGGTTGGCTGTCTGCTACTGCACACAATTTTGTCCAAAATAATGACATTTGGGATGATGTGATAAACTTAGTCAGCTGTAGCACAGTGTGTTCGACAATATCGTGAAGCAAATTAAGCTGTTGATGCTTGATATCTTTCCTTTCTGCCAAAGCTTCGAATATAAACTGTAGAAAATCTCCAGCTGTGGAATGAAACTGACCCTTTACACCTCGCATTATCTCGAAGAGCAAACGACCACATCCTTGTATACTATCGATTTGCTCACGTGATACCGTGGACAAAACAAAATCCAAAAATTTTCCATACTCCTTTACATCACGCGCGATGAAGGAGAAACACTCCACTGCGAAATTTGTAACATGTTCTTCGTAACGTCTTTCATCCAATAGTGGTAATATACTATGGAACACAATGCCTATATTTCGTTTTAAATAGGGCTTCAAGGTTTTGAAAAGATAGGCTAGACACACTAATGTCCACTCTAGTTGTTCTGCATCTTGGGTATTGAGCAAACATATTAGTCTGTCCAGAACTCTCTGGAAATATTGATAGAATTCCTCTCGCAAATCTCGTGCTAATACGTAGAGGAGTTCCAGTAAAGGTTGCAGGGATAAATTTGTGGCGCATGATAGCTTGTCCAATAGCGTATCGATGACAAAATCCTTTTGGTGTAGCAGCTGTGGCAACGTTACGACCTTTACAACTTTTCGTGAGAACTGTGAGAACTCTGTTGTCAGATTTAAAACCATCCATTTGCGGAGAGTTTGATGGAAGTATGTTTCATTTTCTTCAACAAGATCTTCATTTTCGTGTCCAATGTGGTACAGGGCCAAGCGCCTTAAGTCGATTTCATTCACACGTTCAGCAAAACTTTTGAACTGGAATAATACAATATTTTAAACTGTTATCCCCAACGCTGTTGCATTAACCTACCCGAAATGTATTCGAATTCTTGGTTTTTTCATTTAATTCCGCCATAATTTGCCTCTTATTTCGTTTATTTATTTTTTTAAAAACTACACGTGCAACCGAACATTGTTTCCTTCTTCTTCTTTTTCGTTTTCAGTGGTGTTGATAGATATGCACTTGATGGAATCTTCTTCTTTTTAATAATATAGTGTAATGCATAGGAGATTAATAACATTTATATGATGAGAGAAACAGTGAAGCTCATGCCATAGACAAATGAAAATATACACTGCCTTTACACGGTGACATTTTTTAACCATGGCATTTTTTTTTTTGTTGGTAAAAGGTGTAGAGAGACAAGGATAGAAGAAAAAATGGCACGGTAAGCCACCGCACAGGGTTACATGCCATTTTCTTTGCACTTCTCTTTTTGCTTCTTCTGAATTTTTTATGATTTTGACCTTTCATATCGTTTTTTTATTGTAATTTTTGATGCGTTTCTTTTATTGCGATGTGATGTTTTTAGTGATTGAATTGTATAGTGAATTATATGAAAATTAATTGGAAGTATTAAAAAGTAAAAAAAAAAGAAAGTTAAAATAAAAGTTAATAATGCTATATTTAACACCTCAATAACTTTTTCCATCATTTCTTCTTTAGATTCACACATTTAATTTTAAATCACTTCTTTATAAATATCTGTTACAAACAATTAGCTCTATACGAAATACTGAATAAAATAAAATGTCAGAAAAAATGCCAAGCACTATTACCGTAAAATGCCACCGTGTAAAGGCGCGAAGATTTACGCAGAAATTTTAAAAGAGAATTGATAAAAATGCCAGCTAAAAATTGCACCGTGTAAAGGCAGTGATAGACAACGAAATGCTCTCACCGTTTATCTTCGAAAAAAATCGAACAGCAGATGTCGTCTATATCGTTTCAGGGGTTTGAGTTGGAATATTGAAGTCACTCAATTCTAAAACTTTAAAAACTTTGCGTAAACGACCATACTTTTCGTTTCACTTTGTGTAAACGACCGTACTTTTGAAAACATCACTTCGTGTAAACGACCATACTTTCCAGAATATCACTTTGTCAACCTTAGATACCTATCCCTAGCTTAGACGCCAAATTATTTTTCGGGTCGCTTTTTACTAAGTTGAATTCAGCGTTTTTGTGCTAAAATTAAATTATTTACAATCAAATGAATAGTCGAGTACTCGGTTTTCACCCTAGTCCATAGTCGAGTTCGGCAAACGATAGTAGCAACTAGTTCCGCGCTCTTTAGTGAAGATGTTAAATTTTCTCATGTCTCATTCGTAAACAACCAACAGAGTACCCGGGCGTTATGCATATGCATTACACTCATTCGTAAACAACAGAGTACCCCGAGTCTTTGCTTTCTGTTTATTTTTTATCGGGTATTCCTTTGTGGCCTTCATATTCGTTTCGTTGGGACGTTTTTCATTTTTGTTTCCAACGCTCGCCACGAACTAGTTCCGGGCTCTTTTAGTGAAGATGTTCAATTTTCTCATGTCTCATTCGTAAACAACAGAGTACCCGGGCGTTATGCATTACACTCATTCGTAAACAACAGAGTACCCCGAGTCTTTGCTTTCAGTTTATTTTTTATCGGGTATTCCTTTGTGGCCTTCATATTCGTTTCGTTGGGACGTTTTTCATTTTTGTTTCCAACGCTCCCATAATTCCCGCTTCGTTGTTGCGCTGTCAACGCTGTCAAGTCAAGTTGTTAGTTGAAGCAGTTGAAGCGAAGGACTTGTCAAGTCAAGTTAGTCAAGTTAGTGTGGTAAATTACTTCTTGGATCCAACGTTTATGTGGCAAAATTAAATTATTTACAGCAAATGACAAAGAAAATGAGACCGACCGAAGTGAAATTAAGCAATCCTCCTGAAGATTGGATATCAACAGTCAGATTCGGGCCAAAGTCGAATCAATATTTAATTGCTTCTTCGTGGGACGGTACCGTTCGATTCTACGATGTAAATGCCGTCAGACAAGTAATTAAGTTTGTGCAGGATTCTCCAGTCTTGGACGCAACATTTATGGTTAGTATTTATCCATTGATATGCTGTGCTTAATTGATAAGAACATGAACATGCTTTTTTAGGATGTAGTGCATGTAGTCAGCGGCTCATTGGATAATCAACTGCGACTATACGATGTAAATACACACACCGAGAATATAGTGGGAAGCCATGAAGAACCTATAAGGTGCGTTGAGTACGCCGAGTCGGTTAATGGCATTTTAACAGGGAGTTGGGATAAAACCCTTAAATTGTGGGACATGCGTGAAAAACGCTGTGTTGGCACCTACGAACAGTGCAATGGAAAAGTATACTCAATGTCTGTCAATGACGAGAAAATTGTAGTGGCTACATCTGAACGAAAAGTGTTAATTTGGGATTTGCGCAAAATGGAAGAATACATGATGAAAAGGGAGTCATCTCTCAAGTACCAGACCCGATGCATTCGCCTCTTTCCCAATAAAGAAGGTTACGTCATGTCCTCAATTGAGGGTCGAGTGGCTGTGGAATACTTGGATCCTGATCTTGAAGTACAAAAACGCAAATTTGCCTTTAAATGTCATCGCAATAAACAGGATGCTGTTGAGCGCATATATCCAGTAAATGCGATAAGTTTTCACAATGTTTATAATACTTTCGCAACTGGCGGATCCGATGGATTTGTTAATATTTGGGATGGCTTTAATAAGAAACGTCTCTGTCAATTTCATGAATACGATACTTCCATATCATCTCTAAATTTCAGTCATGATGGCAGTACATTGGCTATCGCGTGTTCCTATATGGATGAATTGGAAGTGCCACCGACCAACGTTCCGAACCCCGCTATATATGTGCGATATGTGACAGATCAAGAGACGAAGCAGAAGTAAAAATATTTCATAATTATTATATTAAGTTTTCATTAAATCGTGGACGTTACAAAATATGTTCAAATTTGCGTGTGTATTAATATTTAGATATTTGGTGGAACATATGATTTAGTAACATTTATGTATTGGGGTTTTTTTGTCGCATGTTTCCTTAGTTATGGTGCACATTGCACTTGCAGTACCGTGAATTTGAGTTTTTCTACCTTAAAAGCATTTTTTTTATTAAAAAAGGGCAATCCTAATAATTGCTTGCATAAAATAATGCTACTTGATTTAATATTTCAGCACAAGCTCTACTATATTCTATTGAAAATTTTTGTACGGGATTTGTTGATTTCTGAATTTCAACGTACGTTAAAGTTACCATGGATCGCGGATGGAAATATCCAGCAATCCTCATTAGTTCCTTTGGTTTTTGTCTGAGGTCTCTCCAGGAGAATATAGGATATGATCTTTCCGAAACCATGGCATTCTGGTCTTACCCCTGATAAACATTACCATCTTTCTGAACTAATAAAAAACAAATATGGGATTAAGTAGGCTATTTTGGAACAACAAAATTATGAGTGCCATTTTGCTTCCATTTACATTTTAGTTGTCTCACCCATCAGTCAACCACAAAAATGTGTTTCAGAATAATAATATAAGGCAAAAATATGAAAGGAGGAAATTACTGCGGATGCATTCATGTGTTTGTTATAAAGCTTAGTTTTGTTATCTGCCCTTTGTCATCATAAAGAAAAACTCTTATAATAAATTTCGTGAATATGAACGAAAGTTCAACAAAACAATTTTGATACTAGTTTTGTAGATGTGAGATTGGTTTGTCCTTTAGGGTTTGAACAGAGCAAATTTCACTCTTTCTTTGGCACTCTCCCATGGTAGAATATAGGTAGACGTGTCGACAAAGCTGCTGGGACAATAAACTGTCAAACCAATTTTGTAATTGAATGTTGAATGAAAAATTATTTAAATTTGGCCACACACGTTACAACTGGGAGAGATTGTATTCAAGATTGTATCGTTTGTGGCCCGGTTGTACGAAGTTGTGTTTCGGTTGTACCAAAAATCAAATTTTTTGATTTTCGGCATGTTGTACCAACCGATTGTAATGTTTGTGGGCATGTCGCATACAATTTCATTTTGTATTTATTTTCAAAGGGGCAACAACATTGTTTCGCACATCAAAACAACACGAAATCCAATCAAATGTGTGATTTTAATGAAAATATAAAACAAAAAAAAAATATATAAAACGGAATTTCAAAAATTAATAATGAATAAAGGCTATTAAGTAAAATAATAGAGCACGAAATTATTTCTGGTGTCATCTTAACTCAAATGAACTCTTCGAAAAGTGAAGTTGTACAAAGAGGTTGCATACAAAGTTGTATCGATTGTGGCCGAAGCATACAACTTGACAACCCTGCAGGTTGTACCAACGGTTGTATCGTGAGTGGCTTGCATAAGAATCTAATTATTTTTGAAAAAAATTAATTTTTTTGACATATCAATGTTCCCAAGCGTTGATGCATCTACCTGTATTCTTCTACCATGGCACTCTCCTAACAATTCAATTTCACTTACGCAAATTCTCCTCGCAAATCAAGCGGGAAAACAGTTCATACAATGGCAGAAGAATACAGGTAGATGCATCAACGCCTATGAGCAATAATGTGCCAAAAAATTTAAATGTTTTTTCAAATATATGTAGATTTTTATATGTTTCCCTATACTACGTCAGTCGGAGGCTAAAAAAATTCGCGTTTTTCAACAAATTTTACGACGCGTCTACATATATTCTTATACCATGGTTCATACAATCCATGGTAGAAAAATACAGGTAGATGCATCAACGCTTGGGAACATTGATATGTCAAATTTTTTAAATAATTCTGCAAAAATAAGTACATTTGTCTATGTTTTACCACACAACGCCAATCGGAGGTAGTTATAATATGCATTTTTTTTTACAAATTTGAGTAATTTTTCATTCAAAAATTACGATTCCAAAATTGGTTTGACAGTTCATTGTCCCAGCAGCTGTGTCGAAGTGCTACCTATATTCTTCTACCATGATAGAGTCTCTTGTTTTCGGAGCGATTTTCATTTTGGTGTTTGTTTGTTATCGGCGTCGTCGGCGTCGTGTGATGGCCTGTACTTTGTGTTGTATATTTTTGTGCCAAAACATAATCATAGGAGGCTGAGACTGATACTGTTTGTTGTTTGTTTCATTTCAGAAACATTTAGTTAATTAAATACTTATTTGATTTGTTTGAGACCATTCGTTAGAATTTGCTTGAGTTGCCTGCTGCATAAAAAAACTATGGTAAGATAAATGACTGTGTATTTATTTCAAAAGAGCCCCCAGTAAAGGAGTAATGTAGTGAGCACTATCTACGATGATATTTGAGGGAAAATATTAAATGATATAAATAACATTTACCGACTTTTGTTTGCCCTTAGGGTCCACGATCGCGCAGTCGTTCCCGGTCATATTCTCCAGAAGATAGACGAGGACGTCGGTAAGAAATAAGAAATGCTTTCTTCACAAATTTGCTTAGTAGTATTCCATTTATTTAGTCGTTCCTACAGTCGTGACCGATATTCGTCGCCAGTTTCCAAGAGGCGCCAACCACCATCTCCCCCTCCTTTACCACCGTCAAGGCGCCGTAGTTACTCAAGGTAAGTTTTGGTTTTCCCTTGACATTGAGGTTATGTGACACTTTGTTTCAAATTGGTTTGAAGTTGTATCCCGTTTTGGGCTTTGTTTACAGAAAAGTTAGAAAAAATAGTAGTCGCAAAACTCCAAGATATGTCAAGAAGAGAACTCAAGCTCAAATCTCTTAAGAACTGAAATGAAATAACTACAAGAAAATGCGCACACATAGTCCATAATTTAATATAATTTTCCTTTTTACAAGATCGGAATCTCCAGGGTATAACCGAAGAAATTACAGTAGTCATGGTAACAGATCAAAACCGCCAAGGTCTCGCTCTCCATACGACAGAAACTATCGCAATAACAGGGTAAGTTGGTACGAACAAAACGTGTCCACAAATCAATATTAAACACATACATTCCTCAGGAAAAACCTTCTCCTTGCCGCTGTCTAGGAGTTTTTGGACTGAGTGTCCATACTACACAACAACAAATCAGGGAGATATTTAGCAAATACGGACCTATCGAACGAATACAAGTTGTAGTTGATGCACAGGTAAACTAATATTAATATTTTTGATATATGCCCTTATGCCCCATTATGAAGCTCATTTTTCTCAAGATACAGTAGTAGTGAGCACATTATCGGGGCTATATAATAATCAACAATAATGAGCTTTGATTCAAGAATATTGTGAGCGAAGCTAAAGGCTTGTGTGTAACAAATTAAGTATTCATAAGTTAGTTAAGGAATCGCTAGTGCTTCTGTGTGCAGACATTTTAATGGAAATTTCTTGCACTTGTAGACTGGTCGCTCACGTGGCTTCTGCTTCATTTACTACAAGCATTTAGCGGATGCCGAGGTCGCACGGGATCAGTGCTGTGGCCAAGAAGTTGATGGTAGACGCATTCGTGTCGCTTATTCCATAACAGAGAGACCTCATAGCCCGACCCCAGGTGTTTACAGGGGACGTTCTACGCGGTAATACTCACATATTTTTATAATTCTTGGACGCAAATTGATATATATATATATATACCTAATTACAGAAGCCTATCACAACGTAATCGTTCTCAACGCCGTCATTCACCTTCACCTTATAGTCGTAGCAACCGGGACCGCTACGAGCGAAGCCGTAGTCGTTCCCATTCACCACGTATGTATCCTAATATACATAATACAAGTATTTATGTTTAAAGTTTTCATTATTAATTGCAGGTCGTTATCGCTATTGATTTTTTACCAACCTTTGGTACAAAATCGGTTCTCTACCAACTATACCCATATATATTAAAGATTTGATTTCGTTTATATTTTCTTTGACCCAACAATGTGTAGCTTTGTTCCTCAAATATTTTTCTTTTTTCGCTAAACCAAAAATACTTTGTACTTTTTGTGAATACGCATGGAATCAGCTTACCATATATTTTGGCATCATACATTAACAAGGCCGCAATATTAAGAATTACCAATTCCAAATATTACTTTTGCTACATTTCACTTACCCATTTATTACCATATATAAGATAGTTAATTTTTATTATTTAACGGAATGTGTACTATTCCATTTATATTTGTTTTGTTCAGAATGTCGCCAGTAATTATAATTTCAGTAGATTATAAGGATTTTTGTAAAGAAACATACTACAATAAACTTTGAATTAAATCAGAAGAGGCTCTACGATGGATTCTGCTGGACCTGCCGTGATGTTTTATAAGCTATTTCTAAAGTGTTTTGAATAATATGCATGTCGTTCTCTATACTGCGGGCCCAATTCTCGACATCGCCTAGTTCTTTCAAAGCAGAGCTGAAATTATCTATTAGCTGTAACCATTGCTGGGTTTGCTTGGCGAAATTTGTAGCACCAACATGCAGCTGTTTCGCCTCTGCGTCAAGTTTCTTTTGATTTAGATAGGCCTGGGCAACGCTGTTGTGAAATTAACGTAACGTATAAAGAGGACGAATGGTGAAAGAAATTACGAAATATATTGCAATAATCATACCCAACATTTAAGTGCTCCACTAGTGCCTTGGTCAATTCGTTTGATGCTTCTATAGCTTCCTTTCGCTTGAGTTCTTAAAAAGTGGCATGGGTGAAATTTTAAGACAGACATTTAATATTTTTAATGTATACCTTGCTCCTGCTTCCTTTTGGTTTGTTTCGCCTGATGTTCTTTTGCCATGGAACTCAACATGTTTACCTTTGTTTCAAAAAATAAACAAATATACACGGAATATGTACAAAGCACAAGTCGTTTGGTTTGGTTGTTCGTTGCGAGCGTTGGAAACAAAAATGAAAATCGTCCAAACGAAACGAATATGAAGGCCACAAAGGAATACCCGATAAAAAATTAACAGAAAGCAAAGACTCGGGGTATTCTGTTGTTTACGAATGAGACCTGAGAAAATTGAACATCTTCACTAAAGAGCTCGGAACTAGCTACAAATTAAATTGAATTCGACGGCGGTGCGCCATTAGAGACGGACGGCGTAAGTCGACAGATGTAAACCCACTGGCGGGTTCAGGAGATGTATGGAATTCTCAAATATCAAAGATAGCACGAAACCGATCGGCTCGCAGTCGACTTTTAGCCGCCGCCGAGAATTTCACTGAAAAGAAAGACGGCACAGAAAGAAAATCTGAAAAAAATGTGGAATCAAAACAAAACGGCTGACAACATATGTTGTTGAACACATTCACCAAAAGAGCAAGGAACTAGGTACAAATTTAATTTGACGGTGTTGCCACACCCAGAAATGAATTATTAAATTAGGGTAAGCCGACTTTCGAATATTAGATGTGGTAGAAATTGTAATATCGGATTTCGTAATAGATTTGGGATTTTGAGACCAGAAATTTGCATTCATATATGTAATGGAAACCATTTCTGCTCTTTTTGAAATGTTTACGTTAGGACTATTTGTTGGGTTGATCTCCTTTATGAACATTTATTTAAAGCCATTGAATTTCCTAAATCTAGTATAACATAAAGGGATAAGCTTTATGGAAATTGTGATTATATTATACATATATATTCACCCTTATTATGGTTGGCGTTGTCGTAGGCGTTCAGGTGTCGTAGACGTAGTCGTAGGCGTTGTCGTAACTAGAAATTTTTGTATTATGTACAATTTTCGACTACGTCTTTTTTGTAATAGATATGAAAAAGCAGGGTGCTCTGGAATAATACACATTTTTTGAATTTACGAGCTACCCGGTTAAAAGAAATAAAAGCGTCAGTTGAAATGGTTGAAGTAAAACGATTATTTGTTTCATTAAATATTGAAATATGTTAAGTCCTGGCAATTTTTTAACTGAGGATGAAGATGAGTATATTCAAAATGATTTTAAATTGAGGCGAAAAATAATGCGGGTTATTTTTGCTTACAGAGGGAAGCGTACAGACATCCCGGATGACCACATCCTGCTTCTGTTGCGTATTTCGGTGTAGTCTGTTTACCCTTGGAAAAGTCAGTCTCCAGATCACCAGGTGTTGGACGCTGTTGAATTCCAATTGTTTTTTTCCCTGCATTTACAATTGTCTCTAATTGTAACAAGCGTGATGCTGCTTCCTCCGTGTCGCTTAAAATGAACTGCTTGAAGGGGCTTCCATCCGTAGCACTACATTCTACCTTGGTATGAACTAGCTTTTTCCTCAATTTGAATTTGTAGTCGGTCCTGACTTTTATCCAGTCCTCGACTGTTCGAACCGGCGGTCCTAGGATATTGAGTTTTGCACCATTCTTCCTTGATGTTAATATTTTTCAAGCCATTGCTGTAACCTCTAGACAAATTTCGATTAATTGGCAAGATCTGGATCATTTCGTCAAATTGTTTCCTTGATCTGACTATAAATCTAGAAAAAGATGTACATACAAATATTTTTGTAATGTTGATACATACTTCTTATTAAAATCCATTTTGTATATTATTTATTCTTTTGTAATGTCAATTTGGATAAACTTTTGTGTGGTGTCGGCAACAAAATCTCTAACGACTAATTTTGCAGTGTTTGTCGAATAAGAACGCGTCTTGTGGTACGAAAATTGTAACAGAATTTCATACAGAGTTGTAATTTCTCGCATACGACACACATAATACCAATTAGTCGTTACGACGCGTCAAATTGCAATTTTCGATACGACTACGCCAGCCGTAATAAGGGTGATTATTGAATATTCTGCCGAATAAAAATATATTCATTATATAAAACCAATGAGATGTATTCGATTCGAATTCCATAGAACGAGTTGAAAGGTTTCCATCACAGAATCTGTAACTATTTAACGATAATTATCGATAATCGCAGATTCTAATTTGATAACGTTTATTTGAATTTGTACTTTATTTGAATTTGACTTTGTCAAAATTGAATAAATGAGAAAGATGGAATTATAATTTTTCTGTGTTGAAAAAATCGGTAATTAACGAAATTTGACCGACAAATTTGGATAATATTGAAAATTAAGCAGTAGAGAGAGTAAAAATAGTAAGTGCCATGTTAACAAACTCCGTTCACATACAAAAAACATGATTGCTATCAATAAATGTGAAAAACTGTTGTTATAAACACTTTTTATTATTTTTGGTTCTTGAAGAATATAATTTTTTGACATGGATTATGCAAACAGCTTGATATTTATTTACTGTATATGTTTCTTTTTTTTAACTAGAAATAGGTATATGGAATTATTCTTGTAACTAATATTGCTTTAATGCACTTTATTACGTTTGCTCTTCTTTTGGAATGTAAATTGCACTATTCCTTTCTTCGATGAGTTTTGTGCTATTAATCTTGCATTGGCTACTTGTGCTATATTTATTATGTATTATTTTTTGTATTCATGGTTTAATTGATAATATGCATTTCACCACTGTTCACAAACGGGTACCTTTTTGGTAAGAGAAGACAATTATTTAATAATATTATACAGTACTTATAGAAATATATTAAGAAGATATTTTCATCCAATATAGCGTATTTGTATAAGTAAATATAGAAAAACTCAATGGGAAGTTTTACATATAAAGTACACAACTATTCATTATGAAGGCATTTGTTTGAGAATATATGCTATTGTACCATTAATACAATATGTATATATTTGTAATATTCATTAATATTTGTTCTAGGTATACCGTATATATAGTGATTACATCAATAATAAAAAAGTCTAACAATTTATTTGATTTACATGTTTACAATTGTTTTGCATTGCTTGCACATCTCTAAGGGTAATATCATAATAATAATTTAATACCAAGAATTGATGTGTAAAAACAGAAATATCCCTTTTTTAAATGTCCACCTTACTAATGGCTCTGTTGAGGCCCAACACCCGCAGCACCATAAAGAAAACTAGATTGTCGTATCACCGACACGGTTGCGGCGGCAACACCAGCTTGAGGAGGTGGCGGAGGTGCTGGAGCTCTATGTTTTTTGAATGGTTGATAACCGGCGGGTTGAATCGGTTTTGTGGTCTTCGCCATTGCACTTGAAGTTGTGTTTGATGGTACTAATGGATTTGTGTTATTATTATCAGTGGTGACATTATTGTTGTTGTTAGTAGTAATAGCTGGAAAATACGATCAATTATTGAAATACCATTTTTAATATCAAATATTTTACTCGTGTGTACATTTGAAAATGCATGAGAAATTAAAATCTCTGGGCAAATCAACAAAACAGATTACAAAAAAATGAGAGTTGTGCGCCTTATTTTAAACAAAAACATTCTAATTGGAAGCAAATTTTATTTTAATTTTCAGAAAAAAAGGCCAAATTTAATATCACATTATTTCCCAATGGAATAATAAGAAATACTCTAAAAAAAACTATAGAGAAAAGCTCTTTTTTATCATGTAGCTCAGCTTAGCAATTTTGATATCTGAATCTGCCAAATAAAAAAAACTATTAACATGGAAATAATGAAAAACAAATGGTTATGAGATAATCAAGAGTGTATATGAAAAATAAAAAGTCCCTTGACGATATAATCTAAAAAAAAGGAAACCCAAATGTTCTACAAATTTTAAGTTGCAAATGAAAACACTCTTAGTTGGAATCAAATTTTACCAGCTAACATTAATTTAAAGATGTCCTCACACACAAAAAAAAAAACTATCAACATTATAATGAAACTAAAATAATCCTAATAAGGCGATCAGAATTGTTCTTATCCTGTGATCACTTTTTTCACACATTCAATCTAAATAATAATAAAAAGAAAAAAAAATAAAAATAAAAAAAAACAATGATTGTATATGCGGTTATTTCTTTTATTTGATATTTTATTTCACACATGTGTAAAAAGATAATACAAGAGTTGTTTGTGTGTAGAAATATGTATGTAAGTGTAAATGTGATTTGGGTTTTGCTAAATTTGTAATCATAATTCAAACGGAAACAATATTTTTTACAAATGTAAATAAAAAAAGTAATGAGTTGCATGCGATCTATAACATATAATATTATAGGTATATTGTATTGGAAATCGAAACGACCGGCCGATCTTTAGACGATTCATCAGGATTACACAAGAATGTTTTGTCTAACTATTTGATGTTGGACTACATTCTAGAGTTGAAATTTTCAGTACCAAACGTAATATAACATGATAACATCTTCTAAAATCAAATGTTATAAATGTATAAAAACAAATACACAAGAATTCAATATAAAGCTATAATTCATTTTTTTTTTTTTTTGCAAAGAGTTCTGACTTCAACGATCTTTTGGGAAACATTAAATTAGTTTAATGATTAGATAACATTAAAAGTAAAATTATAAAAGGCATTTACAAATAATAATAATAATAAAAATTCAATATACAAAATATTACAGTGGGAAGAAGGAGGGGGGAGGTGTAAAATGCTTTGCTTGGAAATCGCTTAAAATAATACATTTGCAGATAGTATATTTGTTGTATATGAATTAGTTAAGAAAAGTTCATTACATTTTCGAATATCTCTCGCGTGCAGTGTTCTTTCTAAGAAGATGCTGTAAACAATTGTATCCAAATAAAATAAAAACAAAGAATAATTTTAAAACTTATGTGGTAGGTTATAAGAAGAAACATAATTTTTAAACGGCAAATGAAATGCATTCCGACTTCATTTCACCATCATCTTCCAATCATTGCCATTTTCATAGTTTACATTTGAAATACGGGCAAATGAAGAGTGATGCCTTTGCTTGCATGTTACATACCATTTGTTGCTTTGACGGTTCGACTAGGATACGCTTTGTGAATGTTCACAAATGGTGGGGGCTTAGGGAACTCGGTTACATTGTGGAAACGTTTACCGAACTTGGATTCCAAATCAGTGACCAAACGACTTACAGCATTTGCACTGCCAAAGTTGGGGGCTGCATTGATGCCAGCTGGTGGTGTAAGTGGAGCATTGGCTCGTATGGATGAATGGCGTTGAGGTGGTACAGGTGGGGCTCCACTCGACTAAAAAGAAAAATGTAGAACATTTGGAACATTAATACCCGAGTTTTGTATAAGTTAACATCGGAATCCTTTTATTACAATATAAACTGTTTCCAACAGAAAAATGTATGCCTTATTTGGACACATGCCTATACTATGTATTGGACAAAATTACCCTATTTCTGTAATTAATCATCATAGGTATTTGAAGAAATGTCAATACACGTAGCACTTGTAAAATGTATCTCTTCGTTCACTCCCCTCGACACGTTACACTATGCGATTAGTTTATATTTCAATCCAATTCAAGCGTTTCCACTTAATTTAACGCATGTATTTTCCTTTAACGATTTTTCCATAACAATCGTAGTATTATTGTTGACTGTGTTTCGTCCGAATGCAGTGAAATGCGACACAAACAGTGATAGGAGTATATATATATGGTGTAACACAAATAGGACAAGCAACAACTTTCCGCCACAAACAGTCATAAAAAGGTATAAAGAGAATTGGATGCGAGCAAAATGTTGAGGTATAACATAGTGCTTGTGCTGTGGGTTGTTTAAATTTTACGCTTCTACGCTGTGAGCAAGAAGAGAGAATAAATGGCACACGAAAAGAATGAGAAAAGTGTTTGCACAACATTTTCCCCATTACGGAGGGTTCGTTGTATATCTCTCGGGTTATAATGTGTAGACAATTATTGCCTACTTTTAGGGGTTGAAGAGAAACCGTAAGATTTGCATGAATGAATGAATGAAAGTCCTCTCACCCCAATTCGAATACATATTCATTAGTTCGACTCACAAATACCATAGCCGAATGAACACAACGAAAACGTATTGAATTGATGCTCTAGACATATTGGCGCCATCAAGGCCATATATGTTAAAAAGGACATCCTCAAATGTAAATATAAAGCTAAAAGGATAAATTCCACTAGATCGGAGCTACAAGAAACAAAAAAATTGCTAACCATAGCTGTATGACTGTCGTGCAACACGACATGATACCTATTTTTTCTTTTTTTTTGGATTTTTTCCGCGACTACTTACAGTTACGTTACCACTGCTAGATTGTCTTTGTGGTGGCGGTGGCGCTGGACATGTCCTATGTGGCGGTAAAGGTGGCGCATTGATTGGACCTCCATTTAGTATAATTGGTTTCGGAGATTTACTGCTCAGTGGACTACTCGAAGACTTCGCTGGCGGAGACATGGCGGTAGAAGATGGTGGTGGGGGAGGTGGCGGTGTTGAATTTGCACCGGTGCGAAATTGATCACGCAAAGCGGATACACTGTTCGTTGATGAAGAATTGGAGGGCGGTTGAGTGGAAGGTGGCGACGAGTTCACGCTTGTTGCTGACGATATTAGCGCCGTATTGATGGCCACAACAGGCGCAGCAGATGATGCGGAATTAGAACTTGAGTTGGTACTAGAATAAAGATTTAGGTTCGAATTCGATGTACTGCGTGCTGGTGTGGGCGGCGGTGGTGGCTTAACACTTGGGGGCTTGGGTGGTGCCACTGTAGGTCGACCTATTCGAATTGAATCAAACAAAACGCTTTTAGCATAAATATGAAACATTCAACGAAGTTTCAATTGCTTACCAATTGGTGGTTGAGGTGCCGATCGCAAACCAGAATTAATAGCTTCATGCGATTGCGCCAATGGTGTGCGCATTGTTCCGAATTGTTGTTGTGTTGGGAATACTGGACCTCCACCCGAAGTTGTTATTGGCGGTGACCTATTAACATTTAAATACAAATAAAATTATGAGCTTCAATCTTCAGCAGATGGGATTAAGATTCGTTATTTGAAGCCGTTTAAAACCAATTATCAACATGAAATTATCTAAACAAGCACGTTGGAAATGTTTAAGTGAGTTTTGTTTTGGAAAGGTTTGTTTTTGAAATGTGAGCTATGAGCTATGTAAGCTTTATTTTGTTTGCTAAGCTTTGTTAATGAGCAAGGAGGAGGCAATTTCATTGTTTAATACCTGGGTGATTTCATACTATGGTGACGTGCCACGGCTGGCCTTTGGCCAGCCAATTGCTGCAGACCTGGTGGCTTTGGGGCAAAGTTCGGTTTGCCATGGTTAGGCTTCATGGAAAGCAGCAGTGGAGATTTCGTTGGCGGAGATGGTGACGCGGATGCAGATGGACTACTGCTAGTGCTACCATTTCCACCGGCATTGCTACTAAATAAGGTCGACTTGTTTGGTGCTAGATTACGCAATGATCCCGATGTTGCCGATGATGCTACCAATGACGATGAGCTATTTGTGTGGCTGTTGTTGTTTGAATAGTTGGTTGTGGTATTTAGGGATGATGTTTTTGTATTACTGTCATTGTTGTTATTATTTACAAATACATTATTATTCCCTAATGTCAAGCTGTGAAAACCAAAACAAAAAAGTGGTGTAAAATAAATTTACATAATAAAAAATAAAATACTAATAACTAAAAAAAAAGATAAACAAATATATACACCAATAACAAAATTTGGCATGCAATAAGAAGGAACATATGTTTTAAATGTGCGATATCCTCGCTAACGAAAAATTCTGAATAGTGTTTGAATGTGTGTAACACATAATGTTAATGAACAATGAATAATTCAAATGTGACATCCGAACAGCTCAAGTTTTTCTCTTTGACTGAAAAAAAACGCCGCGTTCACGATTTTATCTTCCTATTGAAATAGAGTACAAATTCCGTGTATTATATTTCTAACTAAAACTCGGGCAGATACTTCGTCAAACTTAATATTTACTCTTTATTTATATATGTAAACGATGGCAATAAAAGTTGGCCAGCCAATTTCACTTGTATTGAAATGCATATGAATATATAAATATTTACACAACCAAATTCCGAAAGAACCAATGAAAGTTTTAAATTTCCCTTTCCAGACATGCCGACTAGACTTATTTCGAATTTATATAGTGGTGCAAAAGATATATACGCCGGAGATAAAAAATTAAATTTACATTGTGGTTATCGTTTATTTATATCGTGAACTGCAAAAGTTGGCAGCGATGCACCATTAAAAAATGTTTTAAAAAATGTAAAAAAAACCACAAAGAGACAAAAAAAAAAACATCTGACTAACAGAAAAATTTGAATCTAATGTGAATAAAGGAAAACAAAACCGTACCATTTCTGTCCTTCTATGAATAGTAATAACCACACAATGGTCTTCGAAATATACAGGGGGCATTGTCAACGTTATGAACAGTAATAGTACTCACTTTAGATTGGCGGCTTTACTCCTTACACTTCCCCCAGTGTTTATTTGCTTCATTAATTTACTATTGATTTCCGATGTTGTGGCTGGAATGGGTTGCTTCGATGTATCGTTGTTCGGTAAAATTGTTGGACGTGTGGCATTGGATCTGCTCTTTTCCAAAATAGAATCGGAAGTGCTCTGAAATGGAAAAAAGTAGTACAACAAAGAAAGGGCAATTAATTTGAATATAATTTATTTTGGATAGCTTTTTTGTTTTTTTTTTTTGATTTTTTTTTAGAGAGCAACATACCGTTGATAAGTTTTTGGGTGGCTGTGTTGGTGGTTGAGGTGGTGGTCCGCGATTTGTTTTGAAATTCGCTTCTGTGGCATTGATATGAGGTGTGGAGCCTGACGTTTGCTGTTGTTGCTGTTTTTGCCGTTTAAGGGTCAAATGTTTTGTTAGTTCTGCACTGAAATCCATTGGACCACTGTTTGATACTGCATTTGATGTTGGCGCTGATGGAGGGCTGTTGCTGCGACCATTTGTTGCTGAAGACGATGCAGCTGGGCTTGCTATTAGGAAAAAATTGGTTAAATGTATTTTCGCAAACAATTGGAAATAACATTCATACCCCTACTGCCATTAACTGGCTTTAATTTCGGCATTGAAGTCAGACCTTCAAACAAACCACCCAGTTTTGGTCCGCCATTACCAATACTGCTGTTGCTAGTGTTGCTGCTGGCTCCTCCAATAACTTGTCGCTTGGGCGAGCCGCTGTTTGGTGATGTACTGCCGCACACCTTACCAGACATAGCAGGACCACTTTTATCCACGGTAACTGTTGGCCTGAGGGCTTTGCCTTTTTGTATAGATTGTAGTAAGGCTGATCGAGCCTGATCACCACCGCCACCTCCTAACTTTAAACCGCCCATGGCAGGTGGAGGAGGTGGACCTGGTGGTGGTGGCGGTCCTGGTGGTGGAGGTATAGCCATCTGTAAAAAGAAAATTCTTCACTTTTCAAAAGAGTATTTCGCACAAAATTGTCTAAAAGAGAAAATCTATGGCTAGTGGTCATCAGTTGATGTGATGAACTGAAATTAACGATGATACATAAAAAAATTTAAATTTACTTCTTTGTCATAAAATCTATGTTTGATAAGGTACATTTTCAAAAATCTACGGAGCACAGGTATCACCACCAAGGAATTGTGTTTTATTTGGCAATTAAAACAAAACTGACTTTTAATGGGTTGTGCTGATCAAATTCGTAACAGAAATATGTTAGTTCTTTTCTTCTCGACACCTAGGAAACCTACGCATTTTTGAAGTCGTTAATATTGGGAGATGTATTGTAACATGAACTAGGTGAGTGAGTGTGTCTGTTATTGCACAGTGTACAAAAACAAAGTGTCGAGTTAATTCGTCCCATAGTAGTTCTGCTTAATTTTTTATTTCACACGTTCTTGAATAGATAACAACTTTTTTACATTATTATTATGATTAAAACGTGAGAATGATGTGAAATTCTTTGACCTAATTAACAATAATCAGAATAAACCAGTGAATATTTGCTTCGGTTTTGTCTTTTAGGGGTAGATCGTGTTTTCTAGTTTTCTTAAATCTGTTTCTCTTCTTTGGGTGAGCTTAATGAACTGAAATTTGCAACGAAAAAGTTAGGCCAGACAGATATCAAACATCCACCATTATGCAACGCGTTATGATGTTGGTTAAGAGGCTCATGAGGCTTATTTTAGATTCAGAAGACTGTCTTGAATGGTTGTTGATAAAATATAAACAAATGTATACATCAAAACATTCGCGTAGCTTCATCCTACGTTTAATCAAATAAATTGTGGTGGTCATTACGGCCAAAAAGAAAGAAATCTATACAAAATGAAATAAAAAACCCACGCATTTATATCTATAAAACCTTCTCATATTAAATGTCATGTATTGGCAGCAGTTATATAGGTATATTATTATGTTTTAATGACATTATAAGCGTGGTACAGTAAGTTACAAAATAAAGAACAAAGAGAAGTGAGTTCTATGGGAAAAAAGAGAGTTCAACTGTGTTAAATGCCACTTTTTCTGCAGCCCTCTCTGTCCTACAAACTGAATTTTCTTTCCAAAAAAAAACTGAAAACAATTTGAATGAAATTTTTCTTATTTATTAATATGTAATATTAATAAAATTTAAATGGATTTATACATCAAATTGCACATTTGGGAACATTGGGATAGCATACAATATGGCTCAATAAGGAAGGTTGCCCAAGTTCAAACAAAGTAGAACAAGTAAAAAAGCTGTAAATTCGGCCGGGCCGATCTTTGAATACCCTCCACCATTTGGAATGATTTTGGCAATTTTCAAAAAAAAATAAATAAATAAAATCCGTTAAATATATATATTGGGGCTATGTGAAGACGTGGACTTGCGCAGACATTTTTCTGTCATAAGCTGTAATACCCATTACCAACGTCAAATACCAAATTTAAAACAATTCCGGTGAATAATTTCGCTGAAATCGCCAAAGTACCGAATATCGGGAAACATTTTCGGTGAATAATGTCGGTTAAATCATCAAAATACCGAAAAAATAGAGGTATAGGGGCTATACCAAAACGTCGACCTTTTTTTGCAAAGATATGCGGCACACATCTCAGTTCGATACCAATTTATGTAACATAAACGAACACGTGTAGTCGTTTTGGAATTCCTTAATATTTTATGCATGTTGCATTTTGATTTAGTTTATCAAGGGTTTTTAAACTTATTAATAGAGTCCAGAAAATGTAAATTATGCTTTCCGGATATCCCGTATACCTGCTTAGTATAATTTTCAGCGTTTGATTTTAAGCGGTGACTTTTTGTAACATTGAATGCGGAAACATTCCTTTATTTCTGACAAAGAATACAATACGAAAATAAATGCTTAAAACGCAATGACAATGACAAAGGCAAACTTAAAACGCTCAACAAATTCATGAATAAAATCTTGAATAATCTTCAATTAAGATTCCAAACACGTTGTAATGCCTGACAGACTGAGGCCGGTCTATATGAGGCATGTTTGTTTTTTATTTCCAAGATTTTGCTTATGGACAAGACAACAATAACAGCAAATAAATGAAAAAAAGAAACACTAGAATAAAACAATAAAAAATGACAAAACAAACCACAAAAAATGAATGAATCATTGACGCGGAGCAACACAATGCTAAATGAAGGAAGCACATAGTAATCACCCATTTCTTTGCGATTAGAAAGAATGAAATCAAAACAATTACCTTTAGCAGATTATCAGCAGTGACGATATTTTGGCTGTCTATGCCTCCTAAACAAATAAATCGATCACTTCGCTCCGCTTAACTTCAAGTTCGACGGTACGTTTATTTCTTTGTATTATCTTCACTTGCACAAACTTTCTGTTTATTTTTTGCCGTTTCTTTGAATTGCAATCTTAGCTTAGCTTAATTAAAACATTAACTTGCAGCTGAGTTTTAATAAGCGAATAAAATGCAAATGTCGAAAATCTTGCTTAAAATCCAAACACGCACGTTCATTTGCAACACACTGAATGACAACAACAACCCTTTTGGCTGGCTAGCAGGGTAAACAATTGGCTGTGCCAGTCGTTTTCATTGCAAAGCGATATTGGAAATAGTAATGTTATTGGTGCCCACAGCAGCCACTGCGATGAAAACAATTGCACCTCCCCAGCTTAAAACACATGTAAGGCTGGCTATTGAGTTGCGCATGCGATCACCACAAGTTATTCGTTGAAGAGATAAGAAGTGAAAACAAAAACCCGAAAGAGTTCAAAAGCAAAGAGATGTCGACTTACTCTACCGAACGATCGAAAAAGTTGTGGAATAGCAGTGCACAGAAAGAGAACTGGCTAGATTGGCAGCAGCGCTATAGACATGAGTCATTCAAACATAGCGGGAGAGTAACAACAAACTACTAGCCCTCGGTTGTCTGTCAGTTGGGGGGAGAGCAGCATCGCCACCATTAACATCAATAAGTGCAAGTGTAAATATCCATTTTGTTTGTATGTGGTAGCTTATACCATCACAGTTCGTAAAATTCACGTAATGAATGGCATTGTGGAGGTCGCGTATTGCATTTTTGATGCATTAATCTCCACAATAGTCAGCAGAGAGAACCGAAACATTGCATTTTTGTGTTTACATTTAATAGATTATTTTCTTTTAAATAGTACTATGATTAGGGCCTGTAGTTGACGTCATCCAACGATCTTTTACATTTTATTGATCACTGAATCAATAATAGGCAGTGGATAAGTCATGGTAAAATAAATACAATCAGAAAATCTCTTATAAATAAGATATTGAGTTATATTGGATTCAATTAAATCTCTGTGGGCAATGAACTATCACAGATATAGATGATTCGCTCAGTTAATTTTAAAAGGCCAAGTAAGTACCTTTATCCAGAACTTTTTGTAATGTTTTGTAACTCGTCTTTGTCCCACTATCTCAACGGATATTTCCATCAAAATACTCTTGTAAAAGAGAAAAAGGGTTTATCAGTCCGATAGCTTTCAACATTTTGCAATCGAAAGCTTGCAGTAACATTCCAATGTATTTATATAGCCAATATTGGAAGCTTCCGATAGGTAAAGTTTGGATGATCTCGAATCCATTATCCATTATTTTAATCAGAGAGCAAAGAAAGTATAGACAAAGAAAGACTTATAGTAGCAGCTTCGACAGAATTCCATTAAGCAAAAGTCGTCAATGTCGCTCTTAAGGCTCAGTAAATTTATTTACCACCTCAACATGGAGTACAAAAATTCAATTAATTATTTGAAAGCAAATTTAGATCAATAAATCGGATTTCAGTGTTTATTTTCCTATGTATTTAATGGAGGAAATAGTAATTAAACATGGTTAAAGCCCACCTAATCCCTACTGTCAACTATCAAAATGAGTTTATGAGTCAGTCGTCGTTGAGCATTGACCGAGAGCGGACGCATCTAAGGAGCGTAGAGCATATTACACTTTAAACTTTGTATTTATTCCCAGAATTACTTTTATTTTTAAATAAAAACCATCTTGACAGAATCAGAAGTGGGATAAGAACAGAAATCTACAAGGAATTTCATCATTTTGGATAAGAATTGCAGAAAAATACTCAAAGAGCTGAGAAACTAAGGCGTCAAAGTGATGTAGTAGTGAAGAGCTCAATGCAAAGCAACAACGACGACCAAAGGAGAAACCACGCAAAGGCACCTAAACTCAAAAGTTCGAGTGAGTTTAGTGAGAGTGTGTAACGTGCTCAAAGAGAGCAAAGGAGAAAGCATCAATCAAAGGAGAATGTACAAAGGTATACTCAAAAGTGTGAGTGAGTAGGACAACGATAGTACATCAAGGAGATTGAAAGCAAGACATAAAGAGGGGAACCCCGAAGAAGAAGTTTAAAAAGGGAAAAGTTAACGTATATTTTTAGGGCGTGCGGCTTCTAAAAAAAAGGAATAGTTCTAGATTTGCTGAAGTAACGAATTAAAAAGGAAAATTCACAAGGAAAAGTATGAAGGTGAAAATAAGTTCGTTAAAGGTTGCGGAGCTAGACAAATTATTACTGGCAAGAAGCTTACCACGAACAGGAAATAAGTCCGAGAAAATTGCTAGACTCATGGCTTGCAATGGAAATGACGAAGTGGAAGTTGAAGATTCAGAGTCACAGGAGGATTTCCATGGATTTGATGAAGCTGAGACGGGTGATGATTCTCTAACAAGTCAAATGCGAGAGCTAAAGGATATAATGTTGACTCTAGCAAGAAGTGTGCAACAGTTAACAACACTTTCAACAGAAAGGGCTATTACGTCAAATGCAGGGTTAAATTCAAGGGATACAGAACAGCAAGTTCCAGCTGAAGTAATATCAAGACAATCTGGTTCCGGAACATCTGGTTGTTTAAAGGATTACATAGTAATGATACCAGACTTCGATCCAATTAAAGGA